GGTGAAACTTGAACATGTAAACCTAGTGACATGTGACACCTTAAGTTAAATTTCATCCAATTTGGAGTTCATTAGGTCAGATTAATTAAAAACAAGTCAAACTTAACCCTTTAATTGAGCTTTAAACATTTCCAGAAATTCCAATAAATCAGTTTAAATCCAAAAAATACCAAAAACCCCTCAAACTGACCAGATTCATGTCCTTAATCATGAAATTATAATCCCTTGATCAAACATCAAATCAAAACCTTAATTTAATTTTAATTGAAAACCAATATTTAATTAAATATAAATAATTAATAATAATTAAAAATTCCAAAAAATTCCCAAACAACTTGATAAATCTCTTCTTGGGTCATTCCTGAACCTTTGAGTTGAATTTCAAGGAGTGTTGGAATTCATTGGAGCAAAATCAAGAAAACCCTTCTAATATAAACAATTAAATAAATTTCATAAATACTTCAAACTTTGAAAAATCATAACTAAGTCAAGAAAACTCCAAATTGACCAAACTCACTTGCATTCAACTCAAAATCAAGATTCTAGTATTTATTAAAAATTTCAAACCTTTCAAAAATCAGTCAAAGTCAAAAAAGTCAACCTTTTTGGTCAAATATAGGTTAAAATTAGTTCAAAACTTCAAACCTTCATAACTAATTGTAGAAAAATCCGATTTCAGCTTTACTTACTTCTAATTGATCGTATTAAGATCAGTATATTTAATAAAATTTAAAATTTCTAAAAAGCACTCATAATTGAAAGTAAATTTGGCCCCTTGAGTAAGTGATTAGAATAATCCAGAAAATTCCTAAAAACTCAAAATCACTCTAAAAAAATTCAGAAATCATTAATCAACCTTAAAATCAATTTCAAATCATTAATACTTAAACTCAAATTTAAATCTTCCCTTCAACCTTTTCAACCAACCAGAACTTCGGAAAAAAAAAAAAAAAAAAAAAAAAAAAAAAAAAAAAAAAAAAAAAAAGACAAAAAAAAAAAAAAAAAAAAAAAAAAAAAAAAAAAAAAAAAAAAAAAATAAAAAAAAAAAAAAAAAAAAAAAAAAAACAACTTTAAAAATTC